AAGCTCAAATTGACTGCGTGGCGTGTACAAGCTTGGCACATGTGTCTGCTCGTCGGCTAATGTGGAGAGTACTTACTTATGAATTGCGCTTTGAGTTTATGCACATTTAATTATATTTATTTATACCCACACATACATATGCATATGCAGTCGTAAGAATGAAAGGCATTTGTACTCCATGGATTCTGTGCTTAATTGAGTGATGCTCCATATGTTGGTTGCGACTTCACTGCACCCACTGACAAATACGAGTATGTACTTACATATGCAGGCAATTACGGACCCCTGATGGTATAAAAATTAAATAAATACCTTCTTGCATAAACATTATCGTTTAAGTGTATCGTGTAAATATGTACGCATCTAGACTAATTAAGTAGCATATTATAGACACGCTTCTAATTATGTGTATCGTAGCAGGGTGTGAAACTCCGTTAGAGTTATTAGAATGCATATCCACAGTGCAAAATATATATAGTGAAGAATGGTGTGCATCTTAGCGAGACTTCTTTTAAGGTGGAGAGAAAAATATTGGCCTGCTCTTTTCGCAAAAACTAATAAAAGGAATCATTTTTATTTCCAAATCGAAATCTCAAATCCATTTAAATGAAATAGAATTAAACCAATTTATTTTAATCATTCTGTACAGTACCAGCTGCCATTTACTTGTGAGAAACTGAACAGCAACTACTTAATTCATTAGGACCATTTAAATACCATGTTATACTCGTTTTATAAAATATAGGTCTTCCCCAAATAACACGTGGACTGATCGCTTCACAAACGAAAACCTCTATATTATTGTTTAGAGTACAAACCTTAACCTCGAAGGGTTATATCCACCTGTAAGTCTAAAAAGCGCATCTTTATATGAACCTTTTTTAAAAAGTCATTTTATTTAATAAATAAATAAAAATTATGTAATCGGTGTAATGATAGGTGATAGATTTTGTAAAATGTTTTATTCCCTTGACCGATCTCCAGGAATACCTCAAAAAAAGCGTATAGCGCTGAGGAAGATTTTGCCGCAAAAAATTATCTCATATCCAAAAATCAAAATAAAAATATTATTACAATAGATGAGTACAGGTAATGATCGAAGAATTAGTTCAAATTTTATTGAATATTTATTTTATTTTATAATGTGCAATTTTAACAAAATGGCGGCTTTCCAAAAAATCGTTCTTTTTTGTAAAAGAATGTACATTTCAGGCTTAAAAATATCAAACATTTCATTCTTTCAAGCATTACCTGAGAAGTATATGTAAGCAGATGGTGTGAACAATTCAAGTCGATCGGTCCACTTTCCTCACCGTCTCTGAACACAACGTTTCGAGAAAAACAGTTTTTGGGAGCCGACTGTATTAAGTTCAAAAACTATTTGACTGTTTTTTTTTTTTTAATACATATAAATTCTTTATATAAGCAAAAAAATCGAGGTTTTGAAGTTCAAAAGTGAATATAACCCCTTAATACTGTTTAAAGTTCACCACACTTCATTCTATTGTTCTTATATTATTAGTCTCGGAGTCACACTACCTTTGGTCTTTATGTTTGCAATGAAAAAAACCAGGAGATAGTGACGCCAGAAAATTCGAGATATTGTAATGCGTGACTGCAAAATGAAGGTGAGTGAGTTTAACTTGATTAGCATCTCAAGGATCAAATCATTCTCGAATTTTTACAAATGAAAATGCGACCTTTATAACATATCTTCACACACCGAAGTCCAATCAACAGTCCGTTGTATGGTTGTTGCCCGCTGAAAGTTGTTCACAGCGCTCAACAACACAACAGTCCGTCGGTAAAGTTTTTGCCAATCGTTTTTGGAATTCACCTAGACGTTGATTAGACGTCCAAATCGAAGCCAAGCACCTTACATGACGATAATATACGATTGTGCTATTGTTCCATTTTTACAAAGAGCAAATATAAAATTATGTGTTAAACATGAAAAAATAAATTGACTGAAACATACGAATTGATAAACAAAATTTATGAGGAATGATTGAATGAGTCATACTCAAGTTACCTTCATAATCCACCTATTTATCACCATGTGACTATGTTTTTTTCTATTTCCAAAACTAAAAGTCAACATGAAAAGAGCATTTTATGATTATATCCCTGCCATTCAAGCAGCCGTAACCGAGGTGCTGAAGAACATTCCTATAAATGACTTAAAAAAAAGTACGCATGTGCTGGTTGGTCATTCCAAACATTGTATTGAGTCGAATGGAATTTATTTTAAATAAATACTAACTTTCAAATACAATATAATGTGCAGTTTATTTCGTAGCCAAATCGTATGGTGTTTGCTTAATTTTAGTCTTCAGGTATTATATCTTCATACAAATATCTTGACGAACTCCGTAATGCACATACGTTAAGCTGTAATTTTTAATTAAACAAAGAAATTTACAGCCAGTACATTTAACTTACATTTATTTAAATGGAAAACTTAATAGAAATATTTTTTCGCTATACGCTTGATTTATATAACAGATAATGTCTTGTGGGAATCACTTAAACTACAAGCATTGAAAAAAAAAATACAGCAACACTGATTCTTATATGATTACGCCAGCTCCACCTCCACTGATTATCTCTCATATAAAATTAAACCTTATAAACGCAATCTGGAAACTTAAGACTGGGGTTGCATTTATGCGTTATTCAGCGTAATATTATATATAACAATACTATATTATATACGCAATACTTTATAATTAAACTATTTATTTTATTTTTATAGCGCGTGTTAGGTAATTAGATGTAATCAGCATTACGCACACGTAATGTAATATATATAACAAAATTATAACCACTTGTAAATTAAGCCTGGCCTACTAGTATTCTCATTTCATTTCCCAGTTCAAGATATGTAGCGGCAAGTGGATTTTATAATCAGTTAGAGTGCACTGCGTTACTAATGCACATAAATATCGGCAAATAAGCGCATTTATAATTGTTTAATTTATACATCACAAAGTGCAGAGATACAAGTATATATAAGTGTTTATTATATTATGAATTAGAAAAAATTATAAAATGTATAAATAAATGGTAAAATTGCGTTAAATTCACAGTTGCAATATAATTGTGGTCGACGAGTGGAAAAAATATGCGCAAAGAAATAATTTAAAAAAAAATAATAAAAACATTGTTGTAATATAAGTTAAGGCTTTGCATGGCAACTAAACATTAAAAGTAAGTGTGAATTATATAAAATGTATTTGTTAAGTAGTGAGCAGTGAAATCTTGCTTTCGAAAAATAAAAAAGTAGTGACTACCAAGCACAATTGCACCTTTAGAAAATCGACACAATAATTACGTTGGAAGAAAAACACCAACAACAGTCTTATAATATGAATAAAAGACTAATCAAGAGCGAGCAACATTACAATTGCGTATCGACGGCATGTGTTGCGCGCCTTGCTGTGCATTGGCAACATTAGCGAAACGGTGCAAGCAGCAGCAGCGGCTTATTAAGCGATTGCCCAGCGGCTGGGAGTAAGCCGGCCCGGCATTTATAATTGGCACTTTGGTAGCGACGGCATATTTGCTGCCAGCAACTATGTTACCTTACTTTGCTGTTGTTGCGAGCCAAGCAGCCAACCAGTCCAGAACGGCTTTAAGCCATTTTTAAATTCTTAAAAGCAGTTTCAACTTAATTTCCATTTTCAAACCATTTATCGCTGAATTGTTTTTCGTTGTTGTTGTTGTTGTTTCATTAGTTACTACTACTGGATTTCGGTGCAAAACAGCATATCCGCATTTGCAAAAGCACATTTACGTGCATTATATTCTCTTTAAGTGCCGTTTGACTTAATTCCGTTCTATACATTTTCTCTTTCAATGGTAAAGAATGATGAAATTATGTAAAAATATTTATAGGCCCGACTTTCAGTGTTATAATAAAATCATCAAACTCTCTTTATACTAGTGTTACCCGCAAAACGTATCTTTACTACTTCCATTACAGTAAAAGACTCGATTGATATGATTGTTTCTTGAATTCAAGTCAGATTATCTGTTTAACAAGTTTGATGAATACAACAAAATCCTCTATAAAACTTTTTAAAATATATTATTTTATTTTATAATATATATAGATAACTTTAATAAAACTCATGAAGTCTTTATGAAACTTAGTGAACATGTTCTTTGCCACGGATGGACAAAATTGAAAGTACTGGAAAAAGCATGAGCTGTTGTAACTTGGTCACCAATTAAGCTACGAATTAAGTAAAAGACTTCACAGTGATGTGGAACATAACTTGCTACATTATTTCCGTAAGGTTGGGTTCACCACTTTATCAATTAGATGCCATATTACATAAACTTCACGAACAAAATTAACTCAATATCAGTGTGGCAATTGAATTTTCCCACCTCTTGCAACTTCATATAATGGATATCTTCGAACAACTAAAAGTGGAATAAGGCGAACATATCGATCTGTTAAAAAAATGCACTTCCAATTTTGTATGTCAATACCACCTTTTGACTTGTTACTAGATAGCTCAAGCATCAACAAGCTCTCCTAGCACATACGTATGTCCTCAAAATTATTATTTATTCCACGTATGTTCCATAAGAACAATTCGATTTATAAGAATGTTCCTCAACACCTCGGATATGGCTGCTTGAATAGCTGTGATATAATCATAAAATGGTCCTTTCATGTCGGCTTTCAGTTTTGGAAATAGAAAATAGTCAAATGGTGATGGAACAGGCTAATACGGAACGTGGGTGAAGCTGGTTAAAAATATCCGTTTTTCCATCAAAAAATCGTAAACACATATTAATCTCTCAGCCAACATTTCACGGGCTTTTTGCCGCAATTCAGCACGATTACTCGCTTCTGCGCGACCTGGCCGTTGGTGGTATTTTAAATGTATAAATTTGAGTACGACGAATTTAATCATCTCCAAAAACTATCATCAATTCATACATTTGTATGTCCTAGCGAATTCTTTTTCAAGTTTAACACAAAATTTTATATACGCTCTTTGTAAAAATGAAACAAGTTGCACACTTTTTCTTTTATTGAAATATTTGTAACTTTGTATATGTAAAAGTTAAGAATCTACGATGACTTCGTACCGTATACGAATATACGATTAATAAGTGAGATATATAGGAATATTATTTGGTTAGCGAATATAGGAAGTTTTAGAATCAAATTTGTATAAAAACTATTCAGGAACTTATATAGTGAATAAAATAAATGGCATCTTTAGAGTACATGGCTTAAAATATAATATATGGAAACTGGGGTTTACACCGCAATCCATGGTCTATTGTGGTCTTCATTCTTCACTGTTTTTTTGCCGCAGTATCAATAGTTTTCTGAGGAGAATAGTTCCAGAGTCTGCAGTTACCTATATACAATGCCACAATTAAACCTACTGAAGGACTATTTATTTTCCCAAGGTGCGATGTTGTTTGGCTTTTGTTTACATCAAACTTAATAAATCGTGTCGCTGTAGAGATAAATTGCAAATACATTAACAGAAGAAATTTGCCCCAATATGTGCACTCACGACTATGTGCCAATACTTTCTGCCCTGTTTGCATCGTCGGTGTAATAGTCAATCTAAGCTGCAGCTTAAGGAGAGAGTCGCTTCATTCGGATCTTAACCTCAGGGTAATAAGGAACACGTTTCCATAAAATGAACGCATTTAGTGGCATCCTCTCACGTTAGAAAGACCTCCGGGATCTTCTCACAACTTTATGCAATTTTTGTACCAAAATTGCAAGAAATTTGTTGTGAACTGTAAACTGTATGTTAGTAAAGTGGCTAAATTATTAAATACCCTCAAAGTCGAATGTTTGTTTCGAGAAGCAATTTTATTTTAAAGAATTTTATAGTTTCGTATTGAAAACATTTTCAATCATAAATAAATTCTGAATAAATTTATACCTCACATTCCTACATAAATTACATATGTACATATCACAGCTAATATGGAAAAGTTCAATCAGGGTAGTAATCTCGTGATCTCGTGCAAACTAACTGTCGCACGCGATCAAAAGCAACAGAATATATCAACCTACTTTATTAGCAAAGAATTTATTGAGACAAATGAAACATTTAATGATCACAGCAAAGCGAAGCGCCGTCCGCAAATGAGAGCACAGAGCAGAAAAACAAACGGAATCAAATTGTCGTAAGAAAAAATGTCACAAAGCGTTCAAGAAAAGCACAAAGAACCGGCAGTCGTGGCTTTGAGTTGAAATTGAAAAACGAGTGACCAGGCTGAGTGGAGTGGCAGCAGCAGTTGGGTTGCAAGGACAAAGCCCGGCGGCAAGCAGGAAGTTCTAAATGAGCTTAAGCACCTACAAGCGTATCAAATGAAGTAGGGAAGTTGACGTATTTCAAGTATTATATCAATTTTTATTGCCAGCATATATTTCATCTTATTGAGTCGTTTAATAAATTACATTAAAACAAGTTGAAATGTTGCCGACGATCGTAAGCAATTACGGTGTTCTTGATATTCTCGTTTATTTTTTCTGCCTCTTTTCCGTTTATATTTATATTCGAGTAAAGGTCTTGCGCTCGCTTCTCGTAATTGACGAACAAGTGTACCTGCAATTGTTATTGTTGTTATTATTATTTTTTATTTTTTCAATTCCACATGCTTAAGAACAGCATGCGTTGATAAGCTCTTAACCTTCGCGATTTCGTTCGAGCATAGGTGAATACATTTGTAAGTATGTAATTCTGTTTGTACGAGTATTAGAGATCAAAGGTATTGAACCGCTATGTGGCGACAGTAAGCTGTGACATTTGACGGATTTGTTTGGAAGTTATTATGTTGCTGTTGCCAACTCGTTGTCAACTTTTTTCGAAGATCTCAATGTTGGTAATATTTAGAAATGCTGAGACAATGCCTTAAGCGGTGATTGCATTATATTCTGATGATACATACATACATATATATAATATATATATCTTAAGATAAAACAAAAGAAGTTCAATATTTATATACAAGTTAGGAAGGATCAAGAGAAATTTTGCCGTTTAGCTTAATTGAAATATCTCACATTCTGGCCGATTTATATGATATATAGTAAATTTTGAGGATATATAACCATATATATCCCAGGTGCTAGATAGAATAACGGAATAACAGAAACTGCTTTCCACTTTCTCTGTGAATACCCAGTTCTATTACAAACTCAACACAAAATACTTGAAACCCATCATCACTAAACCTTGAATGGATGTTCACAAAAAACTTAACGGATATATGTAAGTACTTTCAACGAGAGCACCAAAAGGTTTAAGCGCAACGATGAAACGGGATAGCAATATCAGGTCCTACGATAGTGCATTAAAATGGTAGAACCAACATTGCTGCTACCTACCTTTGGGATTTCAGTTTGACCATTTTCAAACAGTCGCACGACCTACATTTGGTAATTTCTTTGAAATCAGTCGAAGCAGTTTGAGAAACATCAAATATTTCTTAAATTTGTATGGTGTCATGATCGAGTACCAATTTTGGACTGATATATTATACTCACAACCAAATATTAAGCCTGCGGAGTTATTCCATAGAGTAGACAATACTCTTACATGGGAGATGAGCGCAGTTTTTGCTCTTTTATATCTTTTTGTTTTTAAGTTTCCATCAGAGATCTTGACAAGGAGCTGTATGCTACTCGTAGAATGAAATACTGCTATAATACAGGGTGTAATAATACTCTGAAGGTATAAAGTATAGAAAAAATCGAGTTGAAAGAGGTACACCTAATGTGGCTGCAAATAAAGACGGTTTTAGAGAATTTAAAAGAAAAAAAACTACTGTAACAACTGTCTTCAAATTTTAAAGGTAAAATATACCTTTATGATAAATATAAATATACCTTTAAATATTAACACACAGAAAAATTTTAGAAAAAAAAATTTTAACATTTGGTCAGTTGTGACCTACCTACATAAAAAGGCATGCAACAAAATATTATTAGTGAACGAATTGTTTATCACCGAGTAATCACTTAGGCAAATTTGAGAAATGTAGTTTGGAGATAAACGAGTTTAAAAATAAACTGATTAAGCTGAATGAACTGAGCGGTTATAGTTTAAAAGGCTATACTCGTACTGTAAGCTATACACTATTTGAGAGATCTACTTTTATTAATTTGACACTAAGTCTGCCGTTAAAATTATTAACCAATGTTATGCATAAATGATACTCGTAGTTAACGAACCGAATATGATTTATCTTCACCAGGGTTTAAATGTATTAGTTTATGCTTGAATAGTCAAATATATTTAAAAACACACATTTTCGAATGATCAATCGGCAGGTAGCTTGTTAACCTTATAATATACCGCGTATTATCTTTCAGAAATTTCCGAAACTCGCTTAGTTTAAGCTACTGTCACTAAGCAGAAATGTTTTTGGTCATAACAACAGGTATGCACCAGCTTACAGGTATATGAACTAACATGACCTTGTTAATGGTTTCTTAGAAAATTTTCTATTATTTAGCCGTGCATATGTAATCGTAAACGAATACGAATATCGCCGAAGAATATCTTTAAAGTACTCTGCAATCGCAGTATATGGTATAAATTCGGCGCGCAAGTAAGAAACTTCTCAGAAAGACTTCAGTAACGCACTGACGAGTAACGCACCTTGCACAAAAATGACTAGCAACAGGAAAACACTTATGAGAAAATTAAAAAGCTTAGCAGAAAAACAAAATAAGTCTCTGAAATTTATGAAATCATTACACGCAAAAATTCTTAGGCAGAAGATGCATGAAAAAATTGCAGCAGAAGCGTTGAGGAAAGAGGAAGCGGTTATTTCTAGCAGCACACAAATTAAAAGTAATGAGAGAAGAGCGATAATCTAAATTTTTTTCGTTAGAGGAACAGATGCGATGAGCAGCGGTGTAGTTCCTGGTCAATGACTCGAGAGTTTCCATAATAAAATGTTTATTTCATATATATTATATTATATATAAATATCAATTATTTCATATAAATTAAAATAACTACACACTTCTCTATTTAGTTTTTTGAGCTTGCTTGAGGAGAAACTACAAACTGCTCTACGAAGTCATGGATATAGTTAGGCGCATAAAAAATCCAACGATTGCGCTGGTTAGACCATGTCGCTCGCAGGGAAGATGATGCTCCAGCGAAAGCTCTTTTGATTCGGAAACCTTGGGTGAAAAGATCAAGTACATAACGATCTGTCTGCACTTGAGATTTGCAACTGGCGTGACTTCATAAAGGATAGAGGCAGCTGGCGAAGTTTTGTTTTCTCAGCCTAGACCGATCGATGGTAGTAGTCCCAAAGGAGAAGAAGTAGAAGAACTCGAGAATGGATATCAGAGATTGGCTTGACATTTCCTAATAGACACTAAACCTTCGAGAGGGCGAAGTCAATTATGTTAATAAGTAAAAGGGTCAGATATGTTGCCAAAATTGCTGAGTATTTTTAGTGAACCCTTTTAATTACTTTAATTGAGATTTACTATGTGCTTACATATTCTCTGAATAGACAAAGAAACTCAAGGAGTTGCAAAAAGTGGTCATTGAAGAAACTCTAAGGGGCAGTGAAAGTACAAAGCATTATTATTATTATTACTGCTGCTAAACTATTATTAAATTTTGAGACATTTCCGCTCTCAGCTCAACTATGAAGTACTTTCTTTCCCACACCAGCAATTGCAACAAATATTGTAAAATGGGCAAATTTAAATCCAACTAATGCCGTAGTGCGAAACCCCAGAAAATTAATCATCATTTTTGCTCATGGATAATTGCATTTAATTTGCTAACCATGCCCTGCGGTCAGAACGTGCAAATGACTAAAACAATGTACATATGTAATAATGTTTAACGTTTGTTGTTCTTGTTGCAATTGCAGTAATCATTTCGGTTTCGGTAATTTGCTAGTAGGGAACAGAGCCATCGTCATGGCTCATCTAGCGATTCCTTCGACGCTTTCGCGCAACAAATTTCGTCGGTATATTTTTATACGGTGGCCGGCTACGAGCGAAGCGAAACTTCAAATGTGTTGCATTACACGATCAGCGACATTCTGCAGCAATTGCAGCTCAACAGCATCAACAGCAACAGCGACGACTACTACTTAACAACAAAGCGTGAATAACATTTTGATATTAGCTCAGCTCCTTTGCAACAACACAACAATTTCCATCTTTTCTTTGCTTTTGATTGCAAAAATGCTCTTGCGGCTCTTTAAGGCGTGTTCGTTTTTATTTTTTTTTCCCTAACTCGACTGCTGCTGCTGTGGTTACCTTGTGCTACTATGTGTACGTCGTGCCTTTGACGCCTGAGCCCTCCGCCCAACCACAATCGCTGCAAACATCAAAAACATCATTACCTCCACTACCTCGCGAGCAGCCCAAGACCGAGCGCTTCTTGTTGCCATAACGCTCTTCCACCTTAAGCAGCACCTATGCAATGCGGCGTTTCGGTCAGAATGGTGGCATTGGCGTGGTGCAGTGGTTGTGGCGTTTCAGTAATTGAACTGACATCGCTAATGGGTGCACAGGGCATCGTCAGACAACAACGACATTTACGGCCTTTGAAACCTTTGAGCTTCTTTTGCCTTCTAACTCCGCTTTAGTGTTTGGTGTTCTCTTTGCACTTTGCTTACTATTTATATTTTGTTACATTGCCGTTGGTTGGTTTTTGTTGCACTTAACTTTTTTGCCAGTTGTTGTACTTGCATCAGTTAAGCGTTTTTACTAATTTGAGTTGAAATGGCAATTGACATGGTCGTGACAGTGATGTGAACGGTTATCGACAAATGTCGATGGAAATATTAGTAATTTTATTGTAATTAAATTGAAGTATTGCACAAAGCATATTTGGCAGGTAAATTGCAGTGCGATTATGCGTTTTGCTTGCTTAGAGTGAAAAATGGAAACATTAAAAAAGATTTGGAAAATAATAACCGTAATAACCGTTTAATGGCGTAAAGTCTTTGTTTTGAAAGCGCATAAATAATAACCAAAAATTTTGACTCGCTTAAATGTGGTGATATTGGTGTTAAAATTGCGAAGAAACAATATATATTTTTCCCTAATTTAAAAAACAAATTATTTTAATGTAGCGTACAATCAGCTTTCACTTTTGAAATTAAATTCATGTAATTTTTCGGAAACCGATAACAAATGTAATACCAACCGAAAACTGTTAAAACTCTATATACCGCTACTTTTTTTAGACAAAAAAAACTTTGACCAAACACGAAATAAAGGAATTGAGGATATTTTTGACACCTACAGAACTTTATCATAATCTTATCATCCGCATTTTTAAATTCTCATGGCATTTTGCAATTAAAATATGTAGGAAGTCAAGCTTACATATGTACATACACATAACAAAGAGCTTTTCTCATTACCATATTGGCGTTTGAAAACAGATTTAAGTTACCTTTAGCAAAAGCATTTAAATTTTTCCTTCAATTTTAACGAGCTTGTGTCCATACGTCAAAGAAACGGAAGATATTTTCAACTAAGGACGGAAATTTGTGATATCTGTAATGGATATGCCGTACATCAAAACATGCATTGTGTGTTTATGCCAATATGAGTTTGAACATATTTTTGACAGTTACCATAAACCAATTTATAAAAAGTTTATTTTATGACAGTTTAAAGCATACGACAAAATATTGGGAGAATAGCCTAGTATAGGGACTGGCTACAGCGAAATCGCAGGATCTCTATCAGTAAAATGAAAAAATCAGGACAGTTGGTTGCGCTATCTTCGACCGCCTTACTACAGGATGGCTGAGCTCACGTGTACTTGACGAGCACTGAACAATCACTAGCACTTTCGCAGTTGCAAGGCTTTACTGTTACAAGTAAACCGAAAAGGATCGAATGAACTTTTAGAATTCAAGATAACTTTTTTCCGCAAGCTCTTTGGAGCCCTCCACGTGAGCGATGAGTGCCGAAATAGATGAACTGTATTAGCTGAACGCCGACATGGATAAATCGAACGAATTCTTTAAGTTCCTACGAAAGACTCCTTCGTTTGGAGATTCATTGGTGGACAATGGAAGCAAGGGTGCCCACGTATCCAATGAAAGAACCAAGTGCATAGGGACTTGACTCCTCTTGCGATGTACAAGTGCGTAACCACGCAATGGATAAAGGCAGCCGGCGAAGTTTTGTGTTCTGCGCCCACCCTGACTAACAATTGTAGTACTAAGCAAAAAAAAAAGAAAAAATTCTTGGCTCTCAGCAAAGTTTGCATTTTAGTTGCTTAGAGTTTTACTGGTCTTTGTCTAATTGCCGTCCCCGTGATTACATAAAAAATCTTACCAGATACAAGTTGTTGGGAAGAGTTCGAGGCGGAATCAACTTTATTTTTCCACATTGACAGCACTATTTCAGCTATCCAGATGAGCTGTTGAGATTAAAAATTTCAGTTCAAGGCATTTTATCGACTTATGTGCTCGAATTCCAAGAGTTTAGCACAAGCAGAACACTGAAAGTCCAAATTTAAAGAGGAACTATTTTTTTTATGTAAATCGAATTTAACTGATCGACTCATAAATTCAAACATGAACTCGAAAACTGCAATCGCTAGCCAAACGAACTACTAGCAACAACTCATGCCAATACTAACTCGAAATGCAGAATTTTGTTGTAAACGGTATCGATCAGTTCTAGCAAGCACACATGTGTTGCCAAGCCCAAAGAAATGCCTCTTTCGCTGTCGTACTTTACTACTTCACTCAATCATTTGGTTGCACTGTTAGTCCGTGATTTCAAACCGCTGATTGTCCGTCTGTGCCACAAACGCACATTTGTATTGCGTATGCGCCTTTATGTTGTGCTATGTTGTTTCCGTTTAATGGCACTCGTAAATCATCTAATTCCGAAACAGAAGTGATCCAATTGCAGCCTAAACATCTGTACGCATATTATTGCTACATGATCATATGCGGCTACAGCCACAGCCGCAGCCGTTGCTTACAGCCAACCAGTCAGACCGCCGATCTACTGATCGCGCCGCTTCAACTTGTTGTTGTAAATTTTTTCTGCACTCCTTAACCGCCCCAGCAGTTGTATGCTCGGCAATAACATTTGTTCCTGTTACCAACATGCCGCTCTACTCTCCCAATCTACTTGTCGATACGCGTGGTTTTTGTGGAGGCAATGTCGCATTGCGGCGAGTGATCATTTTTATGATCGATCAGTCTATTAAATTACAAGACTCTTTTGGGAAAAAATAGCGTACGACAAGAAAATGAACAACGAATGGAAAAACAATTACACAGCATACAGAAATAGGAGCAACAACTAGTACATGCGCAAAACAACGACAATAACAACAATAGCAAGGCATTTCCTTTATGCTCTAGGCGCGATCTGTTTATAAGAATCCTAACTGCGAAAGCCGGCCATGCGTTGGCCGTGTTGTTGGTGGTTGCATGTCGTTGTGCCTGGTTGGACTCATTCGTTTTGCTGCAGATTCCAATGTGATTTGTAATGACATTTATTTGGTCTATGCGGCTTTGAAAAGGCGTGCTCTGTGCAGTCAGCGCCGGTGGCTGCGTCACTTTTGTGGCATTGATTGTTTCTGTGTTCAAACAGTAGCCGCTGGGGCAAACTCGAAATCGTTGCGTGTCGACTACGACTAAATCGAAAATATGAAAAGTTTTTCTTGTTCTAATTGCTAATCATAAAAATTATTATTGAACCAGTTATTATAGATTAATGGCAAGTAACTCACCAGGCAGTGGATTATCATAAGGTTTTTGAGCTTCAAACATGTAATTGTTTTGCAAATGTGTACCTGTATAAAACTATCTCTGTATATCTGTTCCTCTACTCTGCTTGCTTCAGTTCTTAGCGAGATCAATTAATTATTAGCCACTTAGTATTTGCATTGGCAGGATGCGTATAATAGTTTCCTCACACCACGCAAGAATATATATGGTAAGCCACAGTTGTCGCTTTAAATCTGGAAAGCTACATAATTCCAACTTTTGCGATAATTGGATTCATCACATGCAAATTTTTCTTTCTTTGTATGTGGTTTGAAATCAACGCTGTCTTAATATATCATGCCTTAAGCCATAACCTAGGAGCATAAACATCCATATGGGTTCCTGTAAGCAGGTTTCAAAAAAGTATTTGATGTTATTACATCTCTTTTTTCAGTTCTGAAGTTTTCTATTTCATCTAATAATGTTTCTAATGTTCTCATCAAGTTTAAAACATGCACGATCTATTTCAGATGCTTATGTAGGCTTGACGAAACCAGTTGGACCAAAGATGTACATACTCGTCATACCTTCTGCTCAAATATAAACGAGACTGGCTCAAACAACAAAAACGGTTAATTATTCTTCAATATTTATTTTATCCCCTTCAAAATAGTCACCATTAGAGGCGATACACATATGCCACCTTTTTTTCCAATCTTCCTAACACTTCTAAGCAAAATACCTTAGAAATAAATTATTGAATAATTTTCTACTGGAGACATGCCATCAAAAACGTTAACGGTGTTAAAAATTTCGAGTTCCGATTTAAATCATTTATTCGGAAATTGTGGCAATTCTTTGGATAATAATCTATGCCAAATTTCGTAAAGATACCTTGCGAAATGAAAAAATTTTCAATACAAGGACTTGAGTTTAGTCGGTCAGTTTGTATGACAGCTATATGCTATAGGTGTCATATATAGGTGGTTCCGACAAATGAACATCTTCTTAGGGAAAAAAGGATGTGTACAAAAATTCAAATCGATATCACAAAAACCGCGGGACTTGTTCGGGTATACATATACTGACATGCCGACGGGCGTGGCTTAATCGACTCAGTTGATCACGCTGATCATTTACACGTTTATTATCTATACGTTATAGGATCTCTGATGTTAACCGTCTTCGGAGTGTATCTTTTAGGAAACTCTTTAATATCAGAGATTAGAACATCGTTGAAAAACAAATTGTTTCTATCATTTTAATTTTTTGATAAGCTGGGACTTGTCGGGTGGTTGTTATTAATGTATTGAGAAACTCCTTTGACTAAACTGCGACTATTCAAAAGCGTTTTCGAAACTCTATCGAAAATGGAAGACCAACTTAAATGGCAAAAGATATCCAGAAATTATCGGCTGCCAAAGTCAAACTTTCGGGAGCTTTCTCATATGAGTGGTTCCGTTTACTATTTACCCTATTAGAAACCTCTGATTCACAGCAATATTCATGCATGTTAAAAGTTTTCATAAATAAATATCTATAGTGTTGATTTTCCTAGAGATTTTTGCTGTCAACAATGTCATAGAAGATTTCTACACTTTCGAGCAGTCGCACTTAATTCACTCAAAATGAAAAATTGTGTTAGCAAAATGCGGGCGTGTGTGCGGAAATTTATGCAAATACGAGCATATTATTTTGCTTAGAGTCATATACACACACATATGGTATATGCATGTACGCTAAGAAATATACGGATTTGTGGAGATGAGAAGTAAGTAGGTTTAAAAATTGCTGTCACTTAAGTGCTGATATGAGTTTATTCTATAGTTACATGAGTACAACTATGCATAGCGATAATGTGTGTGTATGTGTGTATACAGGAAAATATTCATAGTGCGTGCATAAGCAACTGCTAGAGTGCCTTGCCTCCTACACAAAACTTATTTTTACCACATTTACTTGCAGTTAACTTACAAAATTCACAAAGAGCAGAATGGAAAGCACGTTGAAATACTGAAAAAAATTATTTAGTGAAATTTATTTTCTTTTTTTTAACTTTTTTTAAGTTGTGGAATCTATGTTTTTTAATTTATTTACTTTTTCAACTTATTCAAAAATATTAAAATTATATTTGAAATTTTAATTATTTTTCCTTTTATTCCAATATTTTTTTTTTTTGTTTTTCAAAATCAAATTTTTAAATATATATTATATTTTTTTATATTAAACTCTTTATAAAAAATCTAAAAAACTTTAATTATTTCTTGTCACTTTTATTAAAACTCTTCAAAAATATTAAAATAAATTTTTGAAATATAAACAATTTTTCCCAAATTTTTAAGATATATTTTAATGAATTTTTTTTTAATTTTAAACTAAACAAGTTCCTTAAAAGGTATCGTAAAGACTTTCAATATTTATTACTACTTTTATTAAAATTTTTCAAAAATATTGAAATTAATTTTTGAAATGTTAATGATATGCTCTTTTTCTTATTTTTTCGATCATAATTATTTTTTTCAAAAATAAATTTTTTAATAAAGATTTTAATTTTTGTTTAAGGATTTTATAAATTTTGTAATGCTGTCAATAATTAAATAAAAATTTATTTTTCCTATCAATTTTTTTTACAGTGCATTTAATAACGTTTTCCAGAACCTCCCTCATCCACCTACTTGCACTTGCAGACGACTTTTGCTTGCATACGATAAAAATGTTGATTACGTTGACATTCTGGCTAAGAGAGACATTTATTTGACTTTACTTTTTGGACGCGTCTGCGGCTTTAGCAGATGAAGTGGAGGATGAAGTCATGCACATATTTTGAGTGCAGTTAGGTGACGCGTACTTAGCAATACGGAAGAAGCATACACTAGTGTATATGTAAGTTGAGTAAATAATGCATTTGCCTGTGATAAAGTGTGGCATAAAAGTGGCAAAGTTTTAATATGTTTCTTGAAACTTATTCTTCATATCAAAATTACAATTTTTAAGCAACACACCTGCATACACAACTACTTTGAACTAACAATAAATAGTTTTTACACAAAATTGTATTAGATCGGATAAGTGACTATAATTTGAAAGATTTTTAAATGTTTTAAATGCTTGTTTTAAGCTATTGGAGAAAACTGTTTTGGAGTTTATGGAAACTTTTGCCCCATAAATTTATTTATTTTAAAAATTTTTAGTCTTTGTTATAAATCAATCTACTAAGATTGGAAAAATCATCGCATATGCTTTAAGGTTTATTAAAAAATGCTTCAGTATAATACTCATTTAGGCATTAAGATATCGTATCTCTAAAATTCCCCTCTTCTCTCCAATTTGTGGTCTTATTAGACAACCTTAAGGAATAAAATAAACAAACTGGTCTAAACTGGTCGAAATTGAGTCAATTATACATTGAAGGATGGTTGGTTGGTTGAAAAGTAAGACGCAAGAGCGCTAGACCGCAGGCGAACGCACTTAAGCCATCATTAGGCCCATTGTGTGTGTGAGTGGTAACCAATTAAGCCTCATCCAGATTTGGTAAAATACCTGACTTCTTTCTACTCCAGCTGCCCAATGTCTCTTAATTTGGATAATGGTTCATTCCGGCGAATCCACTTTGCAACTTTTTTAAAGATGGGAACTTAGGGGTAGGTGACTCCTACTCTTGCCTAAAAGTAAACACTTTTTGGTCTATACACCATCAAACTACTCCAGTACCTTTGTGATATGCCCTGTGTTGTTAGTGTTACAAGATCTGTGGTGTTCCTTGACCCTCAAAGGAGCTGAATGGTCTAGAGCAGATTAAGGAAATTGTGTTCCTGACTATCACCGAGTAGGCGAACTCGTCTGGCTTTACATTTACTTATGTTTCTATACGACTGGCATCAAGATGATTTTTACCAAATTCCCTACTAAGAGTCTAGTTATTGCCTCCTTGCATAACATAACGTATTAACACTTAGTATAGGCACTACGAACAACCTTAATTGACGCTTGTCTATTCACTAGAAGGTTTATGGACTTGCGGGTTAGCGCAGAAGCTTCCACTTTCTGTTACGTCAACAATTTCGGCTAAGACTAATTTGTATTAATTTAATCTTTTTAGTAAGGATTACTACAGAAGAAGCGCGCTACTTTTTGATCCGTCAGTAAATATATAGGTTTCGCCGTTGGAACTGTTGATCACAGAACCATTGCTCCATTTTTCTCTACCGAGGAATGAAAACGTTGTGCTTAATAAATCACGGATCTCCTTTTCTCGGTCGCATGACCAACTAAACCCGAGTTTATTAACAAGGTCGATTATAATACCATGCCCACAATGACGCTGAGACTGGTTCTAATGGCATAAAGTCATAAGTTCGCTGGTCGTAAGATTTGCATCACACTACACATAAATATTTATTGGCCGGATATCGAAAATAACCTCCAGAACCTCTGTTCATGTAATTTTCATTGCGGCGCTTTTCGAAAGTATCCTACACCACCACCAATAAAGGGTAGTTGTTATAACGAAGCCTAATTTACACAAGTAATTAATTAGTTTGAAGGTATATGGATAATTTTTGCAATTTAAATAAATGTTGCATATTAAGTACTTAATATTTTTTTATGAAATATATTTTCTTACTGTTATTTCTCCATACATCTCCACTGTATAAGTTCATACTCCTTTTTTCTCCACATATAATCGCCAATTAAATTTCTCAATTTATTCATTTTTTTATCGAGTAGTTGTGCTTTCAGCAACTGGCAAGTGCATTTCGGCATTGTCGTGGTTCCAGTTGCTGCCAGTGATAAATGTTCACTTAAGTAGTATTTAGTGTAATTTCAGCTTGCAACTTGCTCGCCAGCTACGCCGTACTGCTCGTATAACAATGTATATATGTATATACCCACACTTTAAGTATACATACATTCATCAGCATATATACACATATTTTCTACGAAAACTCTTTATGTTTCCTTACTCTTGTTGCATTCATACACACATACAGCTAAAGGAACTACTGTATCATTGCTCCTGGTCTGTAGTAATTTCGCTTACCTGATTGGCCGAATGGCAATCGACTTAGCGGCCAATTATTTATGACATCCAATTACAATTTAATTTTGTTAAATCTCTCATTTATAATGGAAGGAGTCCATAGCTTAAATCCAAAGGCAGTGGAGATCGATGCAAGCGTGTAGTTTAAGGGCTTGAAAACTGTTGCATGGATTGCAGGTTCGAGTTTCACGTGCGACAAAATCTAAATTGTAGAAAAGATTTTATCTTTAAAAATGTTGAAATAAAAAAAGTAAGTAAGACTAAATTCGGTTGTAAACGAAAATTTTATACTCTAGCAATTTTCAAAGAACAAAGCAAGTGGCATTATATCAAGGACAGACTAGAAATACCCTCTCTCTCTGAATGTAATTAAGATCTTCTCTTCTTGGAAATCGAATATTTTTCTTTAAGCGTAATGATTGAGTACGGCTTTGTAGAACCCATAATTACCTACAAAAATCCCCCGACAGCATATGTCTAACTGTTATGGCCAATTTACATAGACTTTTTTGGTTCAATTTGCATTAGACATTTGTTTTGACAGAAAAGTTGGGCTTTATGGTTGCGCCAGCCGCTCGGCTAGGCTGGATAATAATATGCGATGTAGGCATCATTGGCGCACGGGAGTGGAATCAATGTCAAGAAATAAAGTGCAGCGCGCCTGACTCGCCCAGTTAGCTCCCTATGAAGCGGTCGTGTGCGAAATTGTTCAAATAATTTTTTTATAAACGAGATTCCTTCAATAATTATACGTTCGTTTCCGAACGCATTACTATCACTAGTTAGCTAAGTTTCTGCTATAAAGGCGTTTTTTAACTCAGAAAACTAGCAGCAGAGAGCACAAGTCGAGAGCGGCAGAAGCTGAGAGAGCTTCTAGTTGGAAAGTTCGAAATTTTTTATATAAGATATATGCCGACTAGTGGAACTACTCATCTGATTGTACCCACTTCCAATATAAATGCACATTATTATTAAAAAAATATGTTTCTCTGATTTTCATTAATATGTCTCAAAAGCTGAAAGATATATTCGGTTTGAAGTCAGATATAGAAACTGAGTTCCACACATTTGGTATCTGGGGGTTTGAAATATTTTTGTGTGATAGGTGTTTGATACACATACCTAAGTGAACTAATCATATTGAATTTAAAATTGTGATGTATCGAAATTAGGACCATATGCTTACGATGAAAGAACTTGTTCGACGATTTTTATTAACTTTTCTGAAAACAAGTAAAAGTGTTCAGTAGAAAAAATAAATAGTACTGAGAACACCAATTTGGTAGGAAATTTACTGCTCTACCTAAATGATCTCATATAATTGTTCGATTAAGTTAAGCGTTTACGAGATATTCATCGTCCAACATCAATGCATATTATACTTATAAATACATATATTTCTTTCATCTTTTTTTTAAATTATAAGAAAACGTTTTGTAGAGCATTTAATTTTCTACAAAATCTATGAAACGAGATACTGTTTCAAGAAGTTGGAAGCGAGATTTGAGGTTTTCTATCTCATAATACAATAAGACAAAAAAAGGAAGCTGTAAGGTGGAGAATCTTCCCGTAAAAATTAAGAGTTCCTAGTGGGAAATAATAATAAAAAGTTTTTCATAAACTGAGAATTCTTACGCATTACAGAGAGATCACTATACAAAAAATTTATGACATTTTTTGGGTAACCCTAAAATGAACATTATTGGCTTCACAAAGGAATGTGTAGGTCATATCAGCCGCGAAGCTTTACAATATCGATCGACAGGATGGGACCGAACACATGCAACGGAACTTGCCACCTTCTACGCCAATGGACAAAACATGGATGGATCATTATATATGTATACGAGTCCAATCGGCACATGGAACAAGGTAAAACAATTATTACACAATACTATTACGTGTTATTGGATTGATTGAACTTCGAGATCAAACCTAGGTTGAAGTTTTTCAGTCATTGTAGCATCGGCGATATCTGATATTACAAATTGACCAAAAACTATAATAGGAAAATAATTGTATTTTCAACAAAAATACAATTCACTTTGATACAAATTTTAACTTATTTTTTAAACCATCGAAAAATACTCTTCTCGCTAACATTAAAACAATTTACAAGTTTATCTGCCTCGTCATCACACGCAACGGCGCCACAAATTCTTTAGCCGCTTATCCCTTTATACAAATCGTCGGCGGGTTGCTTTGAACTATTCCCCAACCGTTGATTGTTATAACCTATGGCTAAAAAATAGTAATTAAGCCAACAACCAGTTCGAAGGCAAAAATCTACCATTTTCCTATCGGCAACTGCCGGCTCAGCGAAAACCCACGCGGAAAAAGCGCGGCTTGGCAACTTGTGAAACCCGGCAAGCCAACGGAACCGAGTGCATGTACGAGCACTACTTCTCGTGATCGCAATCGATATACAACAACTAATGATCTAATAAAATCGCTTACAACAGCGGCGAACAGAACTTGCAACGCACATAGAAATACCGAAAAAAAAAATCATATATACGCTGTAAATAAAGAAAATGAGCGCAAATGAGAGAAAAAAGATAAAAGAACTTAGTGAAGGAAGCGTTGCAGCTATGCGAGCAACTTCCTTTTTGCGCTAGCAACAAGTTCAAAGTCACAATCGGAAAATCTCGCGCTACGCTGCCACAAGTGGCATAAATGTGCGAGTGAGCGGCGAACAAATACATTGAAGAATTTACACAATAAATATGGCAAAATACAAATAATACAAAACTACAATCTAGTTGCTTTTCAATTGTATTTTTTTTTTTGTAGCTGTCGTTGCAATTGTTGGTTACTTCGGTATATAGACGATTTATCTGCGATCTCATATCATGTACTTTCGACATTACAATTGCGGTAAATGCTTCTAGTTTTTAGTTTCAACGCGTTGGCCGCGCAGCTGCTACCGCCACCGCCGCAGCGGGAGCGGCAGTGCAACATGCAACAGTGGCAACAGCAGCAGCCGCCACAAATGAACTGTGCTGGTACGTAGCACGTCTGACTATAAGCTTTATCAATAAGCAGTGATCGTTGTCGGAGAAATCACAATAACAATAACAACAACAACAGTCAGCATACCGACAGCAGCATTGTCGCAGCGCAACAACGGCGGTGGAATCAGCGGTAGCAGCCGCAAACAACTTGCAACTGTTTCCCGATTGCGCTCGAGACGCGTCTGCTGGTCTGCGTTGGAAGCTGCCGTGGAAGCTGCGCTACAATCACAATCGCGCTTTCGTTCCATACAACAACAATAGTAGTAGCAGGCAACAATGACAGCGACGCGAATGTAGAAAATGTTGCTACTCTTCCTGTTTGTTTGTATATTGGCATTGACGTTGTTGTTGTTGTTGTTGTTGCAGCAATTGCTGCTGATCTGCATATTGGCAATATTTACCGTGATTTCATCATATCGCGCGTTTCGTCTTTGCTCACTTTTTGCTCGCTACTCTTTGCGCATATTTTCGTAGCCTCTTCAAGCGAGCGCAGTCAAGTCGCACAGATTTTTATGTAACGATTGCGGTGCAGCAAATTTGTTATTCTTGTGCTGCAAATACAACTGAGTTGCATTGAATGCACCGAATACGCATTTGCGATCGTTCATTTTGATTTCATTCATTGCATTTCTCATTGCTGTTGGGGCTTGGTGGCCATTTTTCCGCCGGCATCTCGTATTTCCTTCATTATTATTAATGCAACACTGGCAACAAGTGCCATTTGTATCACAGCAATTGGCGTAATGCAGCACGAAATATGCACGTTGTTGTGAGCTGTAATGTTGCGTTGAGTGGCATCCGGAATTACTCTCTCTTCGCTTCTTACAAGATCTGCGAATTTGTATATTGTCAGCGTGTTCTCTTGTAATTCCAAATATATGACTACAACGAATCGCTGATTTGATCCTGCTATGGCGTATCGAATGTCTTATGTAATAGCAAGCATTATGAGAAATTAAAAATTAAACTTTATATTTTTTTTTTTCATAAACGCTGCCCGTATTCGATGTTGCTTAATAACTATCGAATATGATATGTTATATCTATGAGATTGCTCAGAAGCAAACAATATTTACATTCAAACAAATATTTGTGCTGCCGATTTTACTACTTCTCAAACCATTTTCAGCTACAGTACCCGAATTGGGAAGAGGAAACATATCATATTATATAATAAGAAAGCAAGGAAGGATGAAGGAAGTCAGGCTTGACAGTCACAAATTGGAATACTTGAGATAGATATGACATTAGCATTGAATAATAATTTTTGGTTGTTAAAAGAAAACCTACTTTGAATTCTGTTTTTGTTACAAATGTCTTAAGAGAGGAAAATCATATATTTTAGCGTTGACGTTAGCAGCGTGCGGTGAAAAGTGGTCAACAGAGAATGCTTACTGCATGGATCTATCATTAACTTATTTTTAAGAATCAAAATCCACATCGCAGGCTATGTTATGTAAGTACTTTAGCTCTGAAAGTAATTAATCCAACATCTTTTGGAGATAATATTTTAATCGATATTGAGAAAAAATATCTACATCGTATTCTAGCGTCATTTCAATAAAAGAGAGCCACTAGAATTGAATACAATAGTTTCGTAGTTAGACCTAAACTTCCTACACAATCGATATCAGATACATATCATTTTGAAGAACATACATTTTAATATTTAGAAAAAGCAAGAAAAAACGTTAACTCAGTTACACCAAATCTGTTATACCCTTCACAAAGAATCACAATTTTCTTACAGAAGATTTCAAACAAGAACTTGATTTTGATCGGTCAGTTTGTATGGCAGCTATATGATATAGTTACCCGATACCGGCAGTTCCAACAAATGAACAGCTTCATGGGGAAAAAAGAATGTGCCCAAAATTTCAGAGCGATATCTCAAAAACTGAGGGACTAGTTCGCGAGACAGACGGATATGGCTAAAGCCATCCAGGGATATTTAGATCTAACCACTTGTTGACACTAGATTTACGGCATGGGTACCTCGAAAGATGAGAAAGATTATTTTTATTGAAAGTTCCAAAATATCAATTTAGCCTATATTTTATACGCGAGCAATCAGAGTAAAAGTTGAAGGATAGCTTGGATATTCTATATTAATATTTAAACATAGGTAAAGCATAAAATATTATATATTATAGCTCGCTATATTTATTTACAAATAACTTGTCCTGTAAACGATACCTCTCAAATCGAAATATGGAATTTAGAAAAGCACCTCTGATTACAGCAACTCACTTAAAACACCTCTAGTGTCAGTCCATACAGACAACTCCATTGCGGTTATGGAGCTGACACCTTAGTTCGACAAATTCAACTACAAAAGCAAATCCTATTTCGCATTACCTAACCGACTGTCTGGAATTGATAAATTTGATTGACAAGCTAAAGCTGAAGCCAATAGCTACTAGCAATTACATTCACAACCAGTCGATGTTGTATTAATGCCCTTGCATATTAGCAATGAGCTCACTGGGAGGTCTGAGAATTGTGATCTGTTATTATCGTGGCATACCGTTAGATGCAAGTGGCAGTATGTAATAATGCAATACCGAACACACCCACAGTAGTACCACAATCAATGTAAGTGTCTTTGGGGCAATTTCACAGTCGCAAGGGTCAAAGCAACGTGCGGTTACTTAATGAGTGTCACAGAGCGTTGCACATATCCAATAAGTATACTTAAGGGTTAGTTAGTGTACCGCTGTCAAATTAGTTGACAAGAACTAGAAAACCTTCTTACACACAAACCATATTTAAGAAGGTGTTACTTGCTGTAGATCAATGAAATTTATTTAAAAAAAAAAACAAATTCAGCCCTTAGAGTAAAATATTTTATTTTCTTTTGTTAGATTTTTATACCCTAAACATATACTAAGTTTGCCCCGAAGCAAGCATCGGAAACCCCATAAAATAGGTATATATATGTATAAATAATCAGCATGATAAGCTGAGTCGATTTAGCATTGACCGTCTGTCCGTCCGTCTGTATATATACACGCTAAATAATATTTAAAGTTGTTGAGGTATCATTCTGAAATTTTGCATATGCACTTTTCTCCACAAGAAGCGCTCATTTGGCGGAACCGCCGATACCGGACGACTTGAGCATATAGCTGCCACATAAACTGAATGATCAAATTTATGTGCTTGTATGGAAAACTTTCTTATTAGACGAGATATCTTCACGAAATTTACCACGGTTTATTATCCAAGGCAACGGTACATTCTCCGAAAAAATTTTTCAGATCAGATGAAAATCAGTATATAAATCTTTTTTTACCCTTTTATGCTATATGAAATGCACCTGTGAAGCGTAATATAGCTTGATTGCAGCCGAAATTATGATTTTTTCTTGTTTTTAAAGAGTATTTGCAAAACATTTTGGAAGAAATTTCTCATAAACACAACGGACCCCAGTTTGTATTTTGATACTCTTGCAACATGTTGCTAAAGACGATAATAGTTTTGTTCACCAAACGGTCATTTGTATTACTTAAAAATAATCGAGTTAGATAGCATATAGGATAGTTTTAAGACATCATTAGCTGCCAAGTGTCGTCCACTTAGAAAACTTTTTTTGACTAACTCAGCTCAAATTGTTAAAAATTGTGAGCACTGAACGGGTTCCCGCCGCATTCAAAGGGCATCGAATGGGTCCCAAACACCTAATTTTGCTCTGAAAAACTAACACAGAGTCGTTTGCGATCAAGCTAATCCAACTCAGTCGATGCTTATAACAGGTGTTGGTGTTAATATTAGATTTGTTATACCAACAGTGTTCGCCATGTTTTCCTTGACATAGAAGAACTATATTTTGAAGACAAAGAAATTTTACTACATGAGTTCTTTAAGACAATAACGGATTTTAATCATTATCATGTTTTTAGCTATATGTTAATTATTATTTATTAATTCCAATTACATAGTTTCGCACTTTCTAAAGCTACCTTAAATGTCCATAAGATATTTGTATGTTTAATACAATAATTAAAATTTGCTTTGTGCATTAGTTTTGCCTGCTGAAAATTTATTCACTTGGCAGCATAATTATTTACAATTTCATTTTCGTCCGAGTATGTTTTTGATAGCTAAATTACTCAGCTAAGCAATCAAAGTTCAAGTGCACGTGCCACACGCTTCGATACTTGTATTTTATACTTTTGCCTTTGTAATTGTGAAAATTTTCTTTCCATATGATTCGTTCGGAATGTGCAGAGAAAACCCATGTACGAAATTTAAGATGTTCAATTGAACATATTATTATAAACCGAACAGGGTATATAAAGTTTGCCACGAAGTTTGTAACACCCAGAAGGAAACGTCGGAGACCCTATAAAATACAAGTATAACATAAATGATCAGCATGACGAGCTAAGTTGATTTAGCAATGTCCGTCTGTCTGTCAATTTCCAAGCTATCGATCTGGGATTTTGCACCTGTCTTTTTCTCACCAAGAAGCTGCTCATTTGTCGGAACGGTCGATTACGGCAGGACTACTATATCATATAGCTGCCATACACGAATTGAACGATCGGAATCAAGATCTTGTAAGGAGCCTTTTTTATTTGTGAAGAGTATTATAGTTTCGGTGCAACTGAAGTTAACGTTTTTTCTTGTTTTTATTTAAAATAAATTCGTTCAATATAAATTTAAGTGATGGATGAAAGTTGGATAACAATTAAATTTGGCAAAAAGTTAGATGAAAATTTGAACATTCTATTCTTAGGTAGCTCAATTTTTTTTTACTGCCTTTTAGAAAATGGCTTTATCTCAAACAATGCAAAAATTCCTACCGGTCTCTTACTGTACAACTCTGCTTGTTTAATTACATTACAGGTTATGAAAATTGAATCAGTCTGTCATTTTGCATACCATCTGCACCTACTCTTCCATTGCACAAGTTACAAGCGAATACTATATATTAATTAAATTTAATTCAAGACAACTATAAATACATATATACACATATACATACATACATAATTAATATATTTCTACTGTGCTGTACATATACCTATGTACATATATATTTATGCACTTTTTTCATAACTGTAAATACGCTGAAAACTATATCGAGTAGCATAAAGACATCTGCTTTTATATTAAATTTTAAGCCTTAAGGCAACATAAGGACATAATCGTAAATACTCGCACATAATAAGTGCTTAAAATGATACTCGTGGTTTTATGCTCACATTTCGCGCACTTAATAAAGCCAATTATTAAGTTAACTGACAGTTACATTGGCCGTTTCTTTCGCCATTTAATAAATAAATACCCGTGGATACACAACAATAAAAATATGTAATGAAAATTAAAAGAGTATGTCCAAAAGTAATAATGTTGTGATTATTTCTCAAAACTGAGCAGTCTTAAAAGACATAACAGGGTAGATTGTCAATATAACAACTGATTCTGACATACATATTTTCGAAAGTAAAGTTGCTCCTGGAATTGGGACAAATTTTAAAGAGCTTAGTTAGAACTTTTGTTATACCGGGTATAACAGGATCTTATAGCAACAGCATATATCAGTTAGTCTTCATCTGTGAGTTATGTCTGCGCAAATATGTGATGTTAAATAGAATGATAACCAAATAACTTTAATTGTGTTGCCTTTGCTATCTACAGTACCAGAAGAAAAGTGTCTATTTACTGTAGTCATTCAGTTGAAATAACGTAAGATTAGATCTTTCATTCAGGTTGTTACGGATTCAAACACATTTAATTATTAAAATTTGTATCTTTTCTTGACAAAACCAAATTTGGTGGTAATTGGTAAAGCAGTTAAATTGGACCGTTCTCTCTATAGTTTGTGAGTTACTTACATTGAACCAATTAGAGGGCGGGACTAGGTTACGTCCACCACAGATAGTCCTCCCTGTTCCGATTTTCCGTACCTAATTACAGTTTTGTATCTTAATACTTGTATGCTAACTGGTTATAACATTTTTTAGGTTTCCGAGTAACGGGCGTGGCTACGGTTCAATTCCGACCTTCTACAACACTTTTTTTTGGCACTAAAGAATACGTGTACCAACTTATATCAATAGTTTTACCTAGAGTTTTAGTCAAGTATTGCTTCAATGGGCAGATGAACGGACAGACATTCACTCGTATTTCAACTCGTCTCGAAACCCTGATATTTTATATATACAAGTATATACATATATAAATCTCTAAATCTCTATTTCGTCAATATCTCTTTGCATACTTTATCTCAAGGTGGTCATATTTCGTAATACATATTTATAGCTCTCGCAATTTATAGACG